TTAATTAATATATTATAATATTATTAATAAATATTAAAAAATAAAAACAAAAAAAATAATTTTTAATTATTTTTTAATTCCTACAAAAATTATTTTTACTATTTTTTATTTTTATTTTTATTTTTAAAATATTTATTAAACAAACACAATTATAAATCACTTTTATTTTTACGTCTCAAAAAATATTTTAAAAATTAATTCTAAACGCATCCATTATATTTTGTTTTGTCTCGCTTCTTAAGAGTTGAATCGTAGAAAATCACACGGCAAAATTTTCAATACATCAAAAAGAGCAAATGAAAGAGCTGAGACACAAATGAAGCAAAAAATTGAACAAATCAAAGAAAATCTCTCCGTTGCTGAAAATAAACGAATTTGGCAGCCATATATACATTTATAAGAACAACATGGGAAAACACTTTCATTTTTGTTTTTTTCTCCGGAAATTCTTCAGACAACCATAAGCAGTGGAGATAAAGGCGACAACGGTGGAACACTAAAGATTCCCTTAACGTCAGAGTCCCAAACGGCCGTCCAGTTCGACGGCGTCAACGGCATATCCCTCAAGTAACTGAGAGCATCGTCACTCTCCGTCAACTTCTCCTTCTTCACCGCCACAACCGTCTTCACTTCCTCCTCCTCCTCCTCACGACGCCGTTTCATCTCAACAGTTTTGCCGCCGTCGCCGCCGTTTCCGATCGACGTCGACTTCCCGGCTTCCAACGGGAAGTTGAGGATCGCTTTGGAGCCGCGAAGCCTGAAGGCGGCTCGGTCGTAAGCCTTGGCGGCGTCAATGGCGGTGTCAAAAGTCCCAAGCCACACCCGAGTTCCCTTCCGGGTCGGATCTCGTATCTCCGCCGCGAATTTCCCCCACGGCCGTTGCCGAACCCCTCGGTAATGCTTCTTCTCCTTCTCCGCCGCCGCCGGTTGTTCCTGTACTGCCGGCTCCGGATTCGTCGCCGCCTCAAACTGAATCCACTGCGTCTTCTCCGGCAGCGAGATCTTTAGCGACCGCTTCCGGTTCGACGGCGAGCTTGGGTCGAATCCGGGTTTGGGAGGTAATCGCTGGGGCTTCGACTCGAATTCGAACGAATCGGCAATTTCAGGCTTAGATTCGAATTCAAACGAGTTCTCGCTCGACTGCGAGGTCAAATTGAACGGTTTTGGTGTTAGTAGGTCAAGAATTTCAGGTTTCGATTCGATATCCGAATTGAATTCGAAGAAATTAGGGTTCTGCGGAGCAAAATTAGGTAGCTGTCCAAATGAGAAATTGGTGCTCATGGGGGAGAGATCTCCGAGGAGGTGTTGCTTGATGAATTGAAGCTTCGAGACTTCGTCAAAGCTCGCCATGCCTGAGCTTGATGAGCGGTGAAAAATCTTCAATATTCGTTTTAAAGAGAGAAGTTGAGGAGAGAGAGAGTGAATTGGTGAGTGGAAGGGATGGAGTGGAGGGGTATTTATAGGGAGGGAAATGGCGGACTTTCGTAACGAGGTTCGTAGGAGGCGCAAGGAAGTTTCGTGCTTTCCCTATCCACTTCTCTTTTTTTACTGAAATTTTGTTTGTCGTTTTCCACTTTTCGCTTAAACAATTCTGTTTCATTATCCGCCGTTGGATCGAGTAAGAATTCAAAGTCAAAGGACTAATTCTGCGGCCGTGAGGGCACTGTTTGTTTTCAGGATGTAATTATGGAACTTTTTGAATTCCACTTGGATAGTGAACTACTATTGTGTTGAGTTTCGTGGGTGGTTCCCGAAAGTGCAACTGCGCAACTGCAAACCCTCTTTGAGACTTGAGGGGGAAATTATAAATGGAGTTTATTTTAACATTTGAGTTTAAAATTTAAAATTTATTATATTAAAAAAATTTTAAAAATAATTATATT